AGGTTCTTTAGACTCCAAAACCAGGGTCGGACTCCTGAACTGTCTAATGGTCGGACTTTGGTCGAACGGCATGCCCAACGGCATGCCAAGCTCCATTGATCGCCACGCTCAAGCTTGATCGCCATGCCATGCTCCTGCGCGCGGAAGTGTGACGAGTTTCGAGTTAGCACATGCTGCAAATCTGAAAAAATTGAGGAGGACTGGGGCCTAAAGACTTCAGGCATGGTTGTTCTTTTGAAAACTGTCAAGGTAAATGTTGAAAGGCATGGGATGCAGGATGCAATTTGGAACAGCTTCATCCCAGGCAAAACAAAGACCTTTGAGTCACGAAACACTCAAGTTAGGCCTGAAGGATCCTGAAAGAACATTGAAACTCTCTCCTGCAAGAGGAAGCCAAGTCCGGAACAAGCTTAGTCCCTCCCAGCAGCCGACGGCTTTTGAGCAGGTTTCCCAGTTATCTGTGGGTCATGGCACCCGCAGCCCGGTTGATCCCTGGTACGTCGACCTGCCACGTAGTCTATTCTGTTCGATCGAGCAGGCTTTCCCAGTGCCAAGACCCACAGCCAACGTGAGTGAAAAGCACCTCTTTGTACAGAAAAATGGGCGCCGAAAACCCGACGGCCGCGGAAAACCCGGTCGTTTGGCTGCCATCCACGAGCTTGCATGATGATTTCTAGGAGACGGAGATCTTCCATAATATCTTCCAATCCCCTAGCGTGTCCCCAAGAAAAAAAACTCCCCAATCCCTTCTCAAGCGCTAGCTTTGGTCGAGTTGTAGGTGTGTTGCCCTTCAAGGTGGGACCCTGGGGTGGTTGGGGCCCATGCTTCCCCCCAGCAAATCATCAGAAAAGATGTGAAAAGTGAGACCAAATACCAGCCAAGCTGTATGTCAAGGATTGTGGATTGTGCCAGGTACTGTGAGGGCACATTGTTCTGCTGCGTGCGCGCGCGTGTGTGTGTGTGTGTGTGTCCCCTTGTTCCAAAGGAGACGGACCACATCACCCCCCTTTCATTTGCTATAAGTGCTTTCCACTAGCCCTTGCACAGTTCGGCAGGGGGCTCACGGGTCTGTTCCTGCCGTGAGCCAACGAAGCTCCAGGTTCAGACTAGGATATCGAGAGAGGACGCTCTTACGGCGTACCTGCACTAATTGTTAACGTTCCCTTTTGTTGAAATGTTGACAAAGCTGCAACTCCCATCTTCGAGTAAAGTGCTGATGCGCTTTTGTTAACCTTCTGTTGGGCCGACCCAGCACTTCTTTCCGTTCTGCAAGTCAAGGTCTAGCTTTCATTAACGTAAAGTGCTACCTTCACGCGGAAGTCAAAACTGCTATAGTTCTTGCGAGCATGGATCTAAGTGTGTGCCGCAACAGGGTCCCACTGATGTCTGTTGTGTGATCCCAGTTTTCGGGCGCGTTTTGCAAACACCGTTATGGGTGATACTTCTCAGGCTCCTCGTCTTGCACGATTGCCACTGGATGATCGTTCCTGCTCGAGATTGCTGCTCGAATGACGCAGGGCTGTCTGAAACACCCACCCGAATGTCATGACATGCGGCTAGTGTATTCTCGTGTCATGCGGCTAAGTAGTCATCTCCTGCTGTTCCTTTTCGTTCTCTAGGTTTTCTTTCGTTGCTTAGCGGCTTTTTAGGTTCTAGGTTACCTTTTAGTCAAGTGCTCAGTATTCTCTCGTAAGTTCACACTGAGTAATTCATGCACGGTCTTCCTTTCTCCTTCTAGGATTTCTTCGTTTCTCTTCAGGTTTTCGTTCGTTGCTAGAGGCTTTTACGTATTAAGTTAAATTTTAATCAAGGGTGCGCCGATTTCGGCTTTCTGGCCAGCGCCTTTGGGCCCGTGCCTTTTGCCCCACCCTACACACACACACACCCCGCACCCCTTTCTGTCCTTGCCTTCTATCGTTCGCTTGGATTTCTCTCAGGCTTGTTAGGTTGCGTTTAGGCCGGTTTAGTCGATGCACTTTTTCCCCCCCTATGACAAAAGTGACAGAGTCAATCTCAGTCTCTTGAGAAGGCCACATTCTGTTATCCTCAAACAATTCAGGGAGCGCCGATTTCGGCTAATTGCGTGTCCCCTCCTGTTCCAAAGGAGACGGACCACATCATCCCCGTTCATTTCCTAGAAGTGCTTTCCACTAGCCCTTGTACAGTTCGGCAGGGGGGCTCACGGGTCTGTTGATATCCAGGTTCAGACTAGGATATCGAGGGAGGACGCTCTTTCAACGTACCTGCACTAATTTTTAACCCTCTCTTTTGTTGAAATGTTGACAAAGCAGTAACTCCCATCTTCGAGTAAAGTGCTGATGCGCTTTTGTTAACCTTCTGTTAAGCCGACCCAGCACTTCTTTCCGTTCTGCAAGTCAAGGTCTAGCTTTCACTAACGTAAAGTGCTACCTTCACGTAGAAGTCATAACTGCTATAGCTCTTGCGAGCATGGATCTAAGTGTGTGTGGGCGCGCAGGCGCTCTTGTGCACGATAGCTATAGCTGTACAGCCAATGCTTTCAAATCTACCCTCTACCCTCTACCCTCACTGATTGTCCTGTACGGTTGCTCTGATGTATAACACATAATGCTCTTTTCCTCCAAAGACAGTCATTGCGTCTACAATTCTGTGCCCACTAGCAGCATCATATCATATTCAATTCACTGTGTGGTACGCTCTGTTACGCTCTGCGTGTGCACTCTTCATCTTCGGATGTTCAATCTGTCGAAGAAGAGGCCCTGGCAGAGTTGTTTTTCGTGTATGCAGTAGTGTTGTACTTTAGCTTGTGGTGCCGAAACGGCATTCTGCCAAATGCATTCTGCCAAACTTCGCACTTGCAATCGTACACCAGTCCCGCAATGCAATGCAACGTACGCACATTGTTCGATAGTCGTTCCAAAGCACTGCATGCATTATTGTGCATGGTCGTCCTGCAGAGAAGTGACTTCGATCTTTGCACTTTGTGATTGTTTTGCCCGGTGATTCTTTTCATGGAGCCAAGGCCTCCCCAACCATCAAGAAGAACAGCAAATGAGTAGTATATAGTGACACATCACATCTGAATCAAAGATTCCAAAAGTAGTTGGACAAGATTTCTGAGCAATTTGTGAGGAAAAATTTGCAAAGCGTAGATAATCCTCGAAGATTCATCTCGAACACTTCGCTCTTTAAGCAGCTTTCTCCAGCGAAATGAACCCCTCGGCTGGGTGAGAAACAGATGGTGGGAGACCTGAAGACGGCCCGGCCTCACGAAGGATGGGTCGAAGTGGATGCGCCTTTCACGGGTGGAAGGAACAGGACTGGACCCAAAACCGACCCAACACGTCCCAAAAGCCGCTTTTGGACCAGCAAGGACGACCACACTAGGAACAAGGGCCATTGTTTCACAACATGTTTCAAAGAATTGGAGGATGTCCGGGAAATTGAAAAAGATCAAAGTCAAGAAAAGCATGGGCAGTTTCCATCTGATCATCTGGGGTCCTTAAGTCACCACTATAAGGCTTGACTCTCGGCTCCCGCGCGTGTTCGTGCGGCCGTTCGGTTGCGAAGCGTGGCTTCGACCTCAGATGGGAGACCCAAACGGTTTTTCCGGAATTCGTTCGACTGAAACGCCCAACTTTGGCAGTCCTCACGGTGTTCGCTTCGCCCAGACTCCATTTCATCAACCCCCTCGGTCTTCGGGACCGATGCGGAAAAGCTCCGGGAAAAACGTCGGCAGAACACAGTTCTGCCGCCATGCCGCTCGGAGACACCGAAGGCCAGGCATTTGAAACAGGTCGATAGAATCCAAATCGGGTGGAGTCCAACGATATTCAGGGCGATGTTCAGGTGTCTAGAGATAAAATATAAATATCATGGATCCTCTTCGCGTCTCCACCGAGCGTCATGGATCCTGAGGAGTGAAAAGGATGTTAATTATGTTTGTCTCACACTTCACCGAAGAAGAAAGCTTGTTGTAGGCCAGGTTCAGGTACTCGAGCGAGGTCAAAGTGTCACAAAAGTCTGAAGGAAGCAAGGATAGCTGGTTGTGACTCAAATCCAAGCTTTTCAGCAGAGCAAGCCCTTCGAAAGTACCGAAAGGAAGTAACGTGAGCGTGTTGTTGTTCAACCCAAGCTGCCTAAGCTTTGTGACCTCACTGAAAAAGCCCGAAGGAAGTGCAGTGAGCTGGTTGTCCCACAACTCAAGCAATTCCAGCTTTGTCAGCCCGCTGAACAGATCTG